TAATATTGGCATTAAAGTGTTCAAGATCCCATGGGGACCATTATATCTTTTGACCCCAGGTTTTAATTGAAACTTTAAACAAAATATATTACCTATTTAATGCAGCTAAGCTGGACTCTGGCCTTTGTAGTGTGTGTTGTAATGCCAAGCAAATTAATCTCTGTAACCTTAGTACATTCTTTTAAATATATATCAAAGATGAATGCCATAGAGAAAATTTATACCAAGCCAACACCACACAGAATATTGAATAATTGTTTTAATTCCAGTTTAAAGGCTTTAATTTTGTGTTTGTTTTGTGTTTTTCTTTTTAAGAAAAGAAAAATAAATAATTTTTTTCTTGGTACACAGCCAACAAAACATATGGTTTCCTTAGCGTGGTTGCTGCACACCTGGCAAAATAAATCACAGTGATAGAGTACCAAAATCTACACTGCGGTTTTTCATACACATGAACTTTGAACATCTGACGTAGGTCTCCAGGCCCTGCCTTTCATACCATGAGCAAAACACAAAGCCAAATGGATAACTTGATCCTCTGGGTCAAAGATTCCCTTTTAATTAAGAGGCAAACTAGTTCCTAATTTTTAAAAAGCAAGAAGTCAAAGTGGCACATTGAAGGAATAAGTCCTGGCTTGCCAGAGTAAAAAAGCCAATGGGAGCAAGCACAGGAAAAGTACTGAAACACAAAACATGGAAAACAGGTGGTGCAAAGGTTTAACGCTGCTGGTGAGATAATGCACTTGGAGATCTGGAGTTCAAATCCGAATACAGTATAAACCATGAGCCTTCTGTTTATACTCCTTTGTACATTGTATGGGGGGAACCTCTAGGAAAGCCCCATTAAATCCCTGGAATGATAGATGGAAATGGCTATCAAATCAGATGAAACATTTTCTCAAGTCAGACACTTGCATTTAATGCTGTGTACCAAGGACAGCAAGTGGTTGAGGCTTAAATTTAATCACAAAGCCAATTGGAGGGGATTGGCCTCACATCCTCTGTATTCTTGGATTATACATTCAGCTATGGAGATTCTTGGTCACGCACACTAGATCTGAGATAGGAAAAGACTTCTCCTGCACATACTAAGAGCATTCCGGGGATCTCCCCTCTTCCTCTGTAGCACTGAGCAGATATCCACCATAAACTGGGTGAGCCTAGCTCAGATTGTCAAATTCCTGCAGTTACAAGCAGGTGAGTTCTTGGCAGACCTCACTCCCAACAGTCGCCCATTGTGTACCTAATGAAAAGTTTATTAACAGACAAAGCCTTGCAAGAAGTAGGCAGGCAAATTTACCTAAAATAATACATCCAAACAATAGCTATATAGCTAACATGTTGATTAATTTAACTTTACATACAAAAACAGACAAACATCTCAGTTCCCAATTCATAAATAGGATCTGCAAGGTGCATTCAATGGTAGGCTGGATGTATTTAGTCTGTTGGCTCTAGCATTGCAATCTATCCAGAAATGGTAAATTTAGGAAAAGTTATATTTGCTATCTAGCCCTGTAACAGCCTGACACTGTTTGCAATCTTGTTAGCAGGCATTGATCCTTCTGAAAAAGTGTTAAGTGAGCTCTGTTGACTCTGAAGCAAGTGACTTTTTATTAAGGGAGCTTGTCTGACTGTGGGGTAGCTCAGTGGTTTGAGCATTGGCCTGCTAAACCCAGAGTTATGAGCTCAATCCTTAAGGGGACCATCCAGGGATCTAGAGCAAAAATCTGTCTGGGGATTGATTGGTCCACCTTTGAGCAGGGGGGAGGACTAGATGACCTCCTGAGGTCCCTTTCAAGCCTGATATTTTATGATTTAAAGGAGAGAGGATCTAGAGCATGGATAAAGCAATGAATGAAATAATCCTAGAGCTGGTCTTTATGTCATCTTTTTGTTTTGTTTGCTAATTAATCTAAATCCCAGGAAGAGAGTGAGTTTGGACATGTGGCATGAGGAGTGTGCTTATAAAACGAGTTGGGGAAGGCATCACCAGCACTTACATATAGAAAGGGGGTAGATAAAGTACTCGGTCAAGAATCTATTTTACCCAAATTTTGGGATTATTTTCTATTTAAAAACAGCAGATTAGATCCTTATGAGGAGCAATGATTTCATAGGATCACTCCATTCAAAGAAAAAGGAGGAAAGGGCAACTCACCCATTTTATATTACATAATCTGTTTGACCAGAAATAATTTTGACTATAATTTTGCAACTTTTGCTACTGGAAATCATATTTTTTTCAAGATTTTGAAATTATACTTTTGCACACAAAAGGGGAGTCAAACTTGTCAGGCTCTATCTAAACACTACAATCTGCCAAAGGTCTCTATAGGGGAATAATAATAAGCAGATGTTTAATTCGCAAAACAAAACTATGGCTGTTGATCAGCTTGATAGGATAATCAGTGCATGCTGACAAATGAAACTGATTAATTGGTAATACAACCTAGACCATTTATCAACAAAAAATGAGTACAAAAGCAAGACTTTTAGCCATTGATTTGATCCAATGAGATTCAGTATTCCAGAAAAGTGACAACAGTGAATAAATATGCATTGCCAAAGTGAGTGTGGTTTATAGAGAATCAAAAACAAGTAATGCTATAACCATGGCAATACAAATATTTAAATTTTGAATTTACATCCTTAACCGTTTTAAGACATAGACTTTAAAAAAGCACCAGATCAAACTGCAGTTTTAGAATAATTGTTTCATCATCAAATACTTAACGTATCTTGTTAAAGGGAGAGAAACTACACACACAAAACAAGTAACTTGGGGAGTGAGGATCGGAATCTTGATTCAATGAATGTGTTAAACTCCCTTTAGTGTAAGTGGGAGTCACGTTCATTGACAGGAACATACACTGCATGGTATACATTGAAAGGTATTACTCTTGCTATCCTGCCCAAATGAAAACTTATCTGATTCTACTGGCCCATATTCATCTCTAAGGCTTGGTCTACACTTACCCCCCAATTCGAACTAAGGTATGCAACTTCAGCTACGTGAATAACGTAGCTGAAGTTCGAAGTACCTTAGTTCGAACTTACCTCGGTCCAGACGCGGCAGGCAGGCTCCCCCGTCGACTCCGCGGTACTCCTCTCGTCTAGCTGGAGTACCGCAGTCGACGGTGAACACTTCTGGGTTCGACTTATCTCGTCCAGATAAGACGCGATAAGTCGAACCAAGAAGTTCGATTTCCAGCCGCCGAACTAGCGGCTGGGTATAGACGTACCCTAAGGTACCTCCAATGATTCTCCACTAGAGCTGTGCCAATAGCTGATTTTTTTGGTTTGCTGGTCATACCGAAAACAAAAATAGAATTGACTCAAAATGAAAATTTTAAACATTTTTTGGAAATCAAAAAGTAAAAAACAAAAATAAAAAAAATAAGAAAAATAAAATTCAATGGTCGTTTCAGGTCAAAATGTTTCATTTTCAAGCTTTTAATCATTTTTTAAATAAAATTGAAGTAAATTCAAAACAAAGTTGCTTCAAATGGAAAAAATAAACTTTTTGAAAGGGTCAAAACAAATGTTTATATTATTTTGGATTTAGTTAGTTAGTTTTTCTTTTACCAAAACAATTTGATGAATTTGCTAAATGTTTTGTTCAGACTGAATCTGCATTTTCTGGTGAAATAAGTATTGGTGAAAACTAAGCCGCACTGGATTCAGCACACCCACACACATTCACAGGGGATATCGTTCAAATTTATTCCCTTTCCTGGGGTTTTCCTTTATTGTTATTTTAAAGAAAAACAATCCCAACCCCTGCTGACCTTTCTCTTGAGCTTAGTTGTTCCTAGAGCTTTTTCTCTGACAATTACCCTAGTTCTCTTTACTTCAGAAACACACTCAAACCCTTTCGTATCTTAGATTGGATCTCACAGGATCCCGAACCCCACCATAATTCAGACATTAAGGTAAGTCAACAGAAACAGGTGCATTTCTGTGCAGGGTCCTACTTAAAGTGTTTTGTATCTCTATGCAGGATCTTAGGACCTGCCACCTGGTTATATCAGGTTTTAAGTCAAGCAATTTATCCAACTTAAATTTCTATCCCTTTATATTTATATTTTGAAAAACAAGAGAAAAATAATTTAGCTTTTTAAGAAAAGAAACCAAAACTCACAATTTAATGCACTGAGGCTGCCTTCAACAGTTTGAAAGGACAGGTCAGCTGGACCCAGAGGGACTACTGGATTCTCTTATTGTAGACTTCACCTTACTTAATCTTTTCTCTACCCCCCCCCCTTTTTTTTTAATGGAGATATCCTATCTCCTAGAACTGGAAGGGACCCTGAAAGGTCATTGAGTCCAGCCCCCTGCCTTCACTAGCAGGACCAAGTACTGATTTTGCCCCAAATCCCTAAGTGGCCCCCTCAAGGATTGAACTCACAACCCTGGATTTAGCAGGCCAATGCTCAAACCACTGAGCTGCCACCCCTGATATAAAGCATCCAAATTGGATTGTGAGCCCGAGACATGCTATTTAATAATAATAACATCTAAATATTCCTCATGTAATAATCTTAGTGATTCAGTACTTAATCCATCTTGTGTTGAGGTAAATGAAAACACTCCCATTGGCTGCAATGGTAATTGAATGGGGGAAGGGAAGTGACTTAGTGAATGAAAAATTCCACTAATCACACTAAATAGTACACATAAAGCTTCTTAGATTAGGTAAGAGATTCTATAGGTGGGCACCACTGCAATCGGTATGATGTGTATTTAAGAGCTGTGGGAACACTAAGAAAGAGACCCAGAATATACTTGTATAACCATCTACTGCGGTTTGTCAAGAAAATCTACTGCTCTTACTTGAACTCTGAAGTTAGAACCTACTTATGGTTAAGATCTATTGGAGGAAATTAATTTGTTTTTATTAATTAACTGAATCACTTGAGCTCCAGTTGCATGACTAAGTACTCTAGTTTCACCCTGCCTCCTTGAGTGTCACTCTGTAATATTAAAATTGCTCTTACCCATCATGTTGTATAAGCTTTGTGGTGCAAACTGCCTTGGCATTTTCTGTATTGCTTCCTTGTAAACCATAATGGCATCCTGAAACAGGAAAGAAAAACATTACTAAAGCACCATTTTCAATAGCACTTTTTCACAGCTAGAATTAGGTACTAGCTACCCTCCCAGAATGAAAAAAAAATAAATATCTTCATTACTAATACACTAGGAAGATCAGATTCCTCATTTATAAAAGGATCAACAAGTGACGTGAAGTTCCTTAACACTAGACTGAATGATTTCCATTAGTGTGTGTGTGTCTAGATACAGATTCAAAATTCTGTGGACTGACAGAGTGCCCAGATTGATATCAGATTGTTACAATAAGCACCCTAATAATAAAGTATCATTGCCTAGTATCACCTAACAATAGAATCCAGATCCTATTATCGAATCTTTGATCCTTGGGAAAGAACATGGATGAAGAATGAAAGGAGGAGCACTCAGGAGTCGGGAAATGCCAAAATTAAGGTTTCTGTGTGCTCTTGTGCATCGCATCATGTTATGTACTTGAATTTCATGATCGCATATTAATATTTAATTCAGCAGGCAGGCTGGAGATGTAAAGTGAATGAAGCCCAATAGTTATTTTCATTCTCACTGTTCAGTGTGACCTCTGCGTCATTCACTGCTCACAATCAAAACTTTACATTTATTGAGTAGTAAGAGTCCTTTGCAAAACATAACTGCATGACCATGTAACGTCCATTTTAGAAGGTAAATACCCCAGGAAGAGACCTGTCATTTATTTATCCTTTGAAAACCATGCCCATCCATGGATTTGTTTAACAACATAGTACTCTAAATGCAGTCACAGCAGAGCCATATAGTATGCTGCTGCTCTCTTATCTTTACAGATAGATTTTTTATCTGCATTTTAACCAAACACACTAATCACTGCCATTTGAGAGCGCTGAAAAAGGAAGCTGAATGTAGGGGACTCTGAACAGCAGGTGTGTACTTAATCGTAAGCAGCAGAGTTCATATGTTGCAGTCAGAAAAAGTTACATGGATCACAGCCTCGTGCAACTACCATTCTGAAGTATGTTTGGCTGGACAGGAACAGCATAACAAAAACAAAAAAAACCCACCCATCCAACCAGGCCCTCAGCATATCTCCAATAGACAAAATACTTAACAGAGGTCTTCTCATCTGTATATATGATGGCTGCTATCTTTGCTGACTCACCAGTGGCTGAACTACTGGGGACCTCCAGAGCTAAAACATGAGCTACCCAGAATGAGCTAAAGAGCCATGGACTCCCTATTTGGGGCTCTAACAGATTCCCATCTTCTGCTATTCAGGCACAGAGGCCAAACTGTAATACACACTCCCCAGTGGCTTACAGATATACACTTCTACCCCGATATAACGTGGCCTGATATAACATGAATTCAGATATAATGCGGTAAAGCAGTGCTCCGGGGGGGGGAAGGGCTGCGCACTCCGGCGAATCAAAGCAAGTTCGATATAACGCAGTTTCACCTATAAAGCGGTACGATTTTTTGGCTCACGAGGACAGCGTTATATCGGGGTAGAGGTGTACTTCAGCCATTTATGACAACAATCTCATGAAACAGACCAAACTGCAGAAAGCAAAAAGTCCAAGATTTGACAAGTTCTCATTCTGGTTCTAACACTATCTTGCTATGCATCACTGCATAAGCCATTTAACATTTCTGCAGCTCTGCCTCTCTCTCAGTAAATTGTGGAGAATAATACTTTCCCACACGGACAGGGATTTGTGCAGCTTAATCAATTAATATTTGTGAAGTACTTTGACATGGTTGATGAAAGGTGCTACTATATATAAATGATAGGTATTAATTATTATAAGGACTTTTTTGAAGGGTTGGGAGGGGTAGTGTTGATGTTTGCATGGGAAGGGAAAATTTCGTTCTCACCTCATAATGTCCTTGTTCATGAAAGAGTTTTCCTAAGTTATAAAGGCAACTGGTAACAGAGCTCTTGTGAGCATGAGGATCTTTCAAATTTTCATCAGGAATCTCTGAACACTTCAGGAACGTCCTCCTGGCTTCCTCAGTCTTTCCTTGATTCATCAGGATAATACCAGTATTTAAATAGGCAGCTGTTCGGGGAATAAACAAATATTACATGTTTTAGTGGGGTTCCACTATGTCATCATACCTGTTATCATTTTAAACCAACAAGGTATTCATGTTCACAGATTATAAAATCAGAAGGGACCACTGTGATCACTTAGTCTGACCTCCTGCACAACACAGGCCATAGAATTTCCCCTGAAGGTTGGCTGTTGCTTTCTTAGAAACATAATATTGGGCAGAATTTTTTTTTTTAAGTAAAAGAAAACATGAGCCACCTTGCCTCCAAAACATAAATAAATTAATACATTAAATCAAGGGGATACCGAAGTGACTCAACAACCTGTAATTAGAGTCTACAGGTATGGTATTGGAATCAGTCACTGGCAATACCAACAAATCTTACTAGTGGAAGATTGTCCCAATTAAGGAAAAAGCAAAAAAAGGAATTCCAAAAACCTTGTATTATTGACTCACCACATTCCTTACATGTCAGAGACTGGCTATCAGAAAACAATCATCAATGTCATAAATTTGAGTCAGTGTCCATGGCTCACCAGCCCATTCTTGTGAATGGTACAGGATCATGCCATTGTTTTCAGTTCTGTAGCCCATTGTCTCTCAGAGAGCAGATGCTGAACAACGAAGTGATTGTTTTGCAGCTCACTGAAGGGTAAAATAATTTCTCCTTCTCATTTTAATATTGAGAACAAATTTCCTTAAATACAACTGTCCATATATGCATGACTTCTCACACTAAATGTAGTTGGTGGAATATTACTTTATAATATATCTAGGCTTGGAACAATTAGATTTTTGTTGATAAAAAAGGCTATTTACTTTCTACATGGCGATACGTGTGATGTTGAAAATTTGTTTTAATGGTTATAAAGCTTTAACATTTTGAATGTCAACATCTATTGTCATTAAATAATTGCTGTCTTAGCCCCCCATTATTTCCAACAACTGTGAAAATTTAAAACACATAAAAATTGAAGAAACTCTGAAAAATAAAACACTGATATTATCCATTGAAATTATAAAAAAAACCAAATTCTGCCAAGCCTAAATATAGCATGTTATCCTTCTCATTCTAGCTTTATAATAGTTCAGAGATGAGGGAAGAAAAGAAATGTAAAAAAACCTACTGAATTACTTACAAGCTAATGTGGGTCTGCTACCAATTGCCAGTTTATAGTAATGTAGTGCTTCTGAAAACCTGCTGTTTTCCTGCAGCAGCAATCCTCTGTACCAGGAAAAAAAAAAAGAAATTTACTAATAGATATAGAAATTTACTGTAAAGGACTACCTTAAAAACAGAGCAGTGTTCTATCACCCCAGAGGAAACGAAAATGTTAAAATCAAAACAAAGGTAACAAAAGGAAAATATACCGATTTGTATTTCAGAGAAGCAATAAATAAAGAAAATGCTTACTCGCAACTACTAACATTTCAGAGAGAAAATTATTCTGGTTGAAAAAAAATAGGATTAATTCATAGGTGTCAGATGCATTCATATACCTTTGGCTACATGGGTACTAAAATGCAGCAACGTCAGCTTCCTAGGAAAATGGTGATTCATTTATACATTCAAGAGCATGAGAGATTTTTTAGGGCTAAATTTTTTTTAATGCACATAGAGCTTGGTGAGCTATTTGCACTAAATAATCTTTCATTTTTTCTTTTCATGACTGGAAAGCAGCTGAATGTTACAAATGTGTTTGTTATTCAAAATTTATCATCAACCACTTTATAAAAATATATTTCAGCCTATGGGTTTGTCTGAGCTATTTGGTTAGAATATTCATGATTGTGTGTGACTGGTCACCTAGCTCACATGATGCTGTTTCTACCCTGTGGTTGGATGGCAACCTTTAGTAACAGTAGAAAGTATATTAAAGAGACTGATGTGTGAATCCTTCAGGACTAACTTCCATGGGAACACATACATGCATATTAACTGAAGTTTTGCTTTCAGAAAACATTCTTTTGAATTGAATACACACACACACAGAATACATCTATGAATGTTTGTGGAAAATTAAGAAAAAGTGCCATGTATATTGTTGACATGAATTCATAGCTTTATATTCAAATGAATGTTCCCCCAAAGATTTTCAGTATTCCTGCAGATCTAAAAGGATGTTTAAAATGAATGGATGCATATGTTTAAAACTAAGATTTTTTAAAAAAAATCTTATGATTAATTACTGATATTAGCGCAGCGCAAAAAAGATTGTGACCTTGTTCTGCTAAAACATGTCCCCTGCTCGTACAACTCAATCACTTATTTAACCATTATTCAATCACTAATGAAGTGGTTGTTACAGCAAAACAGTTTGTCCATTTTAGAACACTTCTCCTGTTTCCCTTCATTTTCACGTTCTCATAACTTTTCAAAATGAACACATTAGGATGAGTCATGTTTGATCTCTATACAAAGAGGATTTTTCCCCCTTACGACAGTCTGAACAAAATCCATTCAGACACTTTTGAGTTAAGCCAGCAGATGAGGGGGGAAAATACCTTTTTCCTATTTTTTATTTATTTTATTTTCAAGGTATCACTAGAATTGAATAGAGGCCTGCAGCAAAAGTAGCTGAAGTCTGTAATTTGAAACTTGGCATGACATCATGGACATAATCCTCATTAACAGAGCTATTCAAAATGTTCTACTATTAGATTTATGATGAAATTTTGAATTTGGATTTTAACAATAAAAATACTGGATATTTATTTTGTATTATTGTGTTTTTCTATTGTGCTTTATAACTGGATCTAAGGTTTTTTTTTTTAATTGATTAAAAGTTTTATCAAAATGGCACATTATAATAAAAAATCAAAAAAATCAATCTTTTCAGAATGTTGTTTCATTTTTTGGCAAGCTCTTCTTATTAGGGCCAACTATTTTTTCTTGGTTTTGATTGCCTGACAATGGGGTACTGACTATGCGTTACAGGAAGTTTCTTTAAAACTATAAGTGTTTAAGAAAACAGATAAATGCACAGCTAACTTATAATGTACACCTTACCCGAGTGACTTATAAATGAACATCCCAAAAAGCTACATTTAATATCATAGCAGAAATTTAATTCACAAGAAAACAAAAAAAAAAAAATCCTAGGAAATTCAATTTTTTTTAAAATTTGCCATATTATACAAATACATTTTAGTTAATAGTCCTGCACATGTGATTAAAAGTTTAAGTACTCACTTATGTGCTTTGCAGATTCAGGACTATAAACAGTTCTCAGATGCTATTTACCTAGGGACAATAAGGGCATAAACAGGAAAGAACCTGCACTTCCCTGTCATCTGTGAGCACAGAAACTTATTCTTGGTAATACTGAGCATCTGATACATTACACACAAACAGGCATAAACACAACCTCCTCTTTATGGCTCCAGTTGTATTAAGAGATTAACAGTTCTCATGAAAATATGTCTCTTTTCAAGCGGAATTATGATTAATTTTTTAAAAACTTTAGCTGTTTCCCCTTTCCAGAGTAAAGAAAGGCACCGGGGCTTTCTTTTCAACAAAAAACAGACAAACAATAAAGCAACAACAAAACCCTTTTCACTGCAGCCGGAAGACACACACACACACACACTCACTATAGAAAAAGCACCCTGGCAGAAAGAACATAAAAGTCCACTGCATATATGCATTCCTTATTAAATGAAAGTTAAGATAGAAAATATTAAATTCTAAATCCTAGACAAGGGGGAATATTTTTCACTGAGAATGATATATCCTGTGTTTGCATTTTATCTTTACTGTCTCTTGATCAGCACCAGGCAGCCTCACTTTTGCCCTAATGTTTTCAGGCTAATCTAGTATTAAGTGGCTCAAATCACTCACAGTATCAAGGCTGCTTATTTGTAGTTCCCACATACTGTAGTTTGAGTCAATGACAGAGCAACGTTCATGTCTAGTGTTTGTTTAAAGACACACAGTGGTTGCAAAGAAAGGATATTACAAAGGTTACTTCTGTTCCATCGGGGGGAAAAAACAATGAATATGACTTGAATTCTAAAAGATTTTTGATTTCTAAGTTTTTATTTATTTTTAAATACCATGTCACTTTTTACGTTTAGCAGCATGCCCCCTGACTTCCAGGTAAATTCTGCAGTGATATTATAACACATGGATAATAAATCTTCTAGAATTTTAGTTTTGTTCACTGTTAAGCTTTGGTTATATAGCACTTGTCCTTAAAGACTTATTATTATGAGATTTTTAGTTCAATGAAATAATTATTAATATATAAAATCAACACCAAGCACAAGTGTTATATGATCTCTTATGAACTTTTAAGTCATCATGCTTTTTGCATTTGCTTTTGCTATATTTTTAAATCCTTGGATTTATAAACCTCTGTGCTTGAGGAAGCTGTTATGAATTCTGGATGAATTGTTTTTGCATACTGAGACAATTAGGGATTAATTGTTGTTCAGTTTGAATATAATGAATTACTTTGGTATGATGTTTATACCATTTGGATTAAAAACACACTTATTTGTCATTATTACTGAAGTAATTCCCTGTTTTCATTGCATGCTTTAGTACTAGCACTTTGGATTAATTATTTTATGCTATATGGTTTCAATTTTTTTCCCTTTCTTATTCAGTACACAAACACCTTTTTGCAGTTGTTGCACTTGCTATTTAAAGTTCATATAGATACAACAAGCTGTGTGGGTGTGAGATTGAATATTGACTTCCAATAAATAATTAGACTTTTATTTCTGTTTTGGTATGAGTCTCAGTAAAATGAAAAACTGATGTATATGACCTAGAGAACCTTGATCAGCCATGAAACTACCTCTTTTCCTATGTGAAATTGGCTCTGATTGACCTCTGACACCTTATTACTTTCTTTGTGGCTTTTGACAGCATGAGACTGAGTAGATTTATGTGCATCTAGTTCTAGATTCAGCTTAAACAAAATCAAGAAAGAATGTAAAGAAAAATTCCAAAAGTAATTTTTTTAGTTGAATAAAATTAAGTCACACTTTTTTTGGTCTGTTTTTGAAAGATAACCAGCCTGGATCACTGCCAAAAATGAGGATAAAATATTTAATGAAATAGATAAAAAGTTAAGAGAATGATGCTTGCATGAAATTGGAAACAGTAATTTAAACACTTGACTTGCAGGATGGCACAGTTATCACTATCTTCCTGAAATGGCACTGGTATTAGTAGAGCTTAAGAGATAGGCTTATTTCTGTCTCCAGTGGAAAAGTCAGCTCTTACTGCATGCACGAACAAAATAAACAGGCATATAGACACACATTACAAATGCTCACCCTCATCCAACCTCTGTATTATTACAAACAAAAAGCCATGTGAAAAGAATGTGCAGGTTGCAAAATCAAGCACTCCAAAGTTAGGAAATGCCAAGTCACTTACCCATTCAGAAACTGGAGTTTGAGATATGTTGTCCATATACACATTCCACTATTGGTGTGCATGTGCCCTAGCACTCATGTCTGTACACTTTTTGGCCAGCTGTATCCATACAGCTAGCTTGCTCCCTGATGCTCTTTGTGATGTCTGGCAAGGGCATTTAAGAGCAGGGTGCGCCTATTGCCATTAGTTTCCTCTCAACCGCAAAATATAAATGAGAGGACACCAAGGTCAAGAGGATGGAGCGGGGGTTGTGAAATGTACATAGGGACAACATACCTCGAAGGTAAGTAACTTTTCATTCTCCTTCAAGTGGCTGTCTATATGCACATTCCACTACTAGATGTCTATGAAAGAAGGGAGTGGAGAACAGCATTAACAAAACCAGCATCTAAGCTGGAGGCTTCTGTAAGAGCATAATGCTTGGTAAATGTATGAACAGAGCACCAGGTCGCTGCCTTTACATATATCTAGGATTGAGACATTGTTCAGGGAAACTAATGAGGCTCTCTGGGCTCTAGTGAAATGAGCTTTCAACCCTGCAGGTGGGTCTCTTTTTCCTATGTTATAACAAGATTTCACACATTCTGAAATCCATTTTGAGAAGTTCCTTGAATTTGTGAAGACACGACCTTGCCTTTCAGTTCATCAGCTACAAAGAGCCTTGGAGAAGATCAGAATGTTTTTTTCTCCTTTATAGATAAAACACTGGAGCCTTTCTGACATTCAAAGGGTGGAGGGCCACTTCTGACTTACACACATGAGGAAAGAACACAGATGGGTGGATTTGCTGATTTAGGTGGAATTCCATGACCACCTTGGGTAAGTACTTTGGA